CCGTTACACGAGACTCAATTATTTCGGCTTCATTCCCTTCACTTCCCCCTCCAGAGATGCATATATATATAGACATATACATCTACGTGCCGTCCGGGGAAAGGAAAAAGAAAAAAAAAAGACGACGAGTTAACGTCGGCGCTTGAGTCGTTGTTTTGCGCGCCGCATTTCGCCCATCTTCTTTGCGTCCAGCGGGCCCTTCTTCTTCCGCCTGCCGTCGCCCTTCACCGCCTGCGAGCGCATCAGCTTGCGCACGGAGGCGTTGTTCGCCTTCTCGCGTGCCCGCGGGTCGGCTTTTCCCTTTTCAATCATGGCACGCAGGAGGTGCTGCGCCCGCCGGCGCTTGCGCTGCACGGCCTCCATCACCTTCTTCCCAGGCCGCGCGTTCAGCTCGCGGAAACGCTGCCGCTGCACCTCGATTTCCTCCGCGGTGACGGGGAGGATCACCTTGCAGTTGCGCTGCTCGTCCTTGATGAACCAGTCCGGGAGGTCGTCGTCGTCGTTGAAGGTGTAGCGGTTGATGGAGGCGTCGAGGATGTCGCGGCGGCTCTTCGGGTCGAGCATCTTCGTCGCCAGCGCCAACGTGCGGGCGCGGATGTGTGGATCCGTCAGGGCGACCGGAATCTCCTCGAAGCCCATCTCATCCTTGCGCGCACTGCTCTTGTTGCGCGTATTCTGCTTGCGGGTGGCCGCGTTGTCCTTCAGCGTCTGCTTCCGCTGCTGCCGCACGAGCTCCTGCGTGGTCAGCTTCCCAACGTCTGGGATGATGGCCCGCTTACGGCGGGAGTCGAGGCGCCCCGCCGACACCTCCAGCTCGCTGTGGTCATCGCTAAATCGGCCCTCCGACAGGCTGGAGACGCTCTGGTCATCATCGTCCTTGTCGTCAGCCACGCGGTCGTCGAAGCGCGTCCGCTTGCGCGCCGCACCACCCGCGCCGTGAATGTCACTCTCGTGCAGCGGCGCCGACGCCGTCAGCTCTACGCGATCCTCCTCGAGCAGCCGCTTCCGCTTTTTATTGTTATTATCCCGCGGTTTCGGGAAGGTCTGGTTCAGCACCTTCTCCACGTTGACGTGGTGCCTAAGCCACTTGCTCTGCTTGCCGGCGTCCTCAAGGTCCTGCTGGTCCTTCGCCTTCCTCTTCTGCAGCGCGGCGTCCACCTCCTCGCCGTCCTCCGGCACAAGGCCCTCGTCGTAGAGGGCAACGCGAGCCGAGCGCTTCGCGGGGATGTAGTTGCCGTAGTTGTCTACGTCGGCAGCGTCTTCCGCGCCTTCCACGAGCTGCAGCGGCCGGCTGCCGCCCTCGCTGGCCTCGCTGCTGCCGTCCGCTGCCTCGCCCAGGTCCCAGTCCTGCTCAGCGTTGAGGTTGGCGTTCATGACGGGGTTCAAGGGGTCGTTGAGGCGCTCGTCCGGCTCCTCCCAGTGCTTGTCAAACATTCTTGCCAGCAGCGCCTCGTCCACGGTCGCCAACTTCTCGACGGTAAATCCCTCGCCGTCGTCGCCGTCGTCAAGTTCGCCGTCGCCAGCCTCCCCTTCGCCCTGCATGTTTACTTCGGCGTCCTCCATCAACCCAGCCGCCTCTGCCGCGTCCTGCGCAGTTGCGTTGGGGTCGAAGTTGATCAGTCCCTTGATCTGCTTCAGCTTGCGGTCAACAATCTTCTTCTGCTTCCGCTTCAGCAGCTTGGATTGCTTCTTGCGCAGCTCCAACAGCTCCCGGGCAATCCTCGCCACGCCCTCCGCACTGTCCAGGTCAATCCCTGCGTTGCCGCTGTCTTCTTCTACGCTACCGTCGTCATCGTCCCCGTCAGCGCCGCCCACCTCCTCCTCGTCGTCCACGTTTTTCCCCTGCTGCTGCTGTTCCGCCGCCTGCTCGCGTAGCAATTGTTCCCGCCAGCGCAGCATACGCCGTATATCCGCGTCGCCCACCTGCTGCAGGTCCCCGCAGAGGTACACGAGCTCCTTCTTGGAGTATTTTGATTTCAGGTAAGCCTTGTCCTCCGCGGCGGCGAAGCGCAGCTCGTGGTGCGAGCGAAGGAACTCCTTCGGGTCCGTGCAGTGAATAAACTCAGAGAAGGCGGCAACATGGTGGGAAACCGTGGCAAACTCACTGTACCCCGCCGGCACGTTAGACTTGGGCACAACGAAGGCCCCGGAGGGTGTCAAGATCTTCTCCTCGCCCACGTCCGAGAAGACCTTCTGGGCGTTGAACATGGAGGGATCCAGGTGCTTCGGTGCCTTAAAGCCGGCGCACACAACGAAGATCTCAGCCGACTCCATACGAGAGGCAAGTGGCTTCGTCGCCTCCACCTTTTCAAAGAGCTGCTTCAGCACCCACATGAGCTTGTGGAAGTCCTGCGAGCGAAACACCTTCGTGACAAACCACCCCGACGGCTTTAGCATGGAGGCGGCCATTTTGGCGGCGTGCAGAACCAACGCATTCTGCTCAAACAAATCACGCGACCAGACACCACCGACGTTAGGGGCACCATCGTGAATGACGCAGTCCACCGGCTCCTTCTTGAGGTATGTCACAACCATCTTCCGCGTCTTGTCATCTGTGATGTCACCGACGAACGTCTTCACCCCACGGATGGGGGCAATCGGCACCAAATCCACACCAACGATCTTTGAGCCCACCGGCATGTGCTTTGCTGCGACTTGGCACCAACCACCTGGCGCCGCACAGAGGTCGACGAGCACGCGACTCTTTGCAAGAAAGTCGTATTTGCGGTTCAGCTGAATAAGCTTGAACGCCGAGCGGGCACGAAAGCCCTGATCCTTTGCGAGTCGGTAATAGGCATCAAGACGCGTCTTGGCCTTCTTCTTCGACTTGGTTCCCATTAATGATTTAGCTCAGTTCCTTAGTTAACTTTTCCTTGTATATGTGTGTGGTTGTGGGCGTCCCACGCCACTTACAGCCCTCCGTGTGAGGCGGGGAAATGAAGTTGACTAAGAAGGTGGGCTCCGGCGTCCCTGCGGCGGCACAAAGGACGCACAGTGGGCAAGTGCGTGAGTCAAAGAAGGAGAGATAAAAAGAATGAGAAGGAAAGAAAAAGAGACGGCTTGCGCAAAAGGCCTCGGCGTGCAGCGAGACAAGGACAAAGGGAGGAAAAGAGAAATAAGAGGGAGAGGAGGGAGGGTGGGGGCCTTTTGCACGGGCACGCGTTCCTCCCACCCAGCCAAAGAAAGGTGGGAGAAGTGACCGCCTTCACGACAGCGAGTATGCCGGGTAGTCGCGGAAGAGTTGCGACGCCGTTGAAATGAGAGCCTCCAGCCAAGCGTGGTTGTGCGCGCCGTCGGCTCCGGGCCCTGGCGGCGGCGGCGGCGGCTGTGCTCGTCTTTCCAACGGGTCCTTCAGCAGCTGAAGGATAACGTCTAGCGGTTTTTCAAGCAACTTCTGCCGCAGTTGCATCATGAGTGCCACGCAGACGTAGCTGTGGAAATCAAGCACCATCTCGCTACTCCCGATCGCCATGTACTTCTCCCAGAGAGGCACCAATAATTCCAGCGGCAACTCCCGCGCGAGCAGGCAGTGTACCCATTGGAAGCAGCAATCCATCAGTCGAATGCCGTGTGATAGGATGGAGTCCAGCAGGGCGAAGTCCACCTTCCGCAGGAGCGCCTCCATGAGCCTCATACTGCGCATAATGCCAGGCTGCCCATGCACGAAGTTATCTTGCAGCCAAGAAAGAAAAAAGCCACCGCAAAAATATGTATCAGCCTCCGCCGCTTTAAAAAGATCAGCAGGCAGTTCCTCCATGGCTGCGCCCAATTCATGTACGTCACTCGAGTATACAACACTCGCGGGAATCCATGCATGCTCCGGGGCTTGTTGCACGTCACCGTCCCCAGCCTCTGCATGATTCTCTCGCAGTTGCTGCCGGGAACGCATGTTGCGCTCCGCGAAGGCGCCCTCGAGGAAGACAAAGAAGAAGACAACCATAATGTCATCGATGCCCTGCACATACCCCACCGCTGGGTATCGTCGCGACCACAGAAACAGGCATCGAGCTAAGGCGGAGGCGGTGTGGGAGAGGTGAAAAAGGGCATACGCGTGTCGTGGAAGATCCAATGCAATCTGTGAAAGAATGGCACGATCGTCTGGGGGAACGGCCATCGCCATTGCCGATGCACTCGTCGCCGTTGTCACGGGCATCGTTTCCGCGGAGTTACCAACGCGTGCGGTGCCTGCACCAACGCTTTGCATTCCTCGGCGTAGTTCCGTCTCGCGCAGCGTGCTCGGCTGAATAAAGTCGGTGATTGTGATTTTGTAATACTTGGCGACGAAGTTGTCATATTCCTGGCGCTTGCGCCGCAGTTCCGCCTGCTGCCGCGAGAAGGAGGTGGGGCTACACGGTATGTAGCCGCACAATAAACGCCACACATATGGCCGCACGTGCGTCGGCACTGTGCCTCCCCAAGTGTAGCCCCGCACAGTCGACCGCTCCTCCGGGGAATCGCCCAACGGCATTGCCGCTAACATGTCCATCATGCGGTGGTGCTCCCGCACACTTGGCACACCGCCGCTAACCCCAATGGCTGTAGATGCGGGGGCTCCTGATGTCCCCTCCGCCGCCTCCTCGTCGGCGTCGAGGCTGGACATGTAAACGCCACGCTTTGCCGAGGCACGCGAATGGGCAGGAGGGGCGCCCCCCGAGAGGACCGTGAGGCCGTAAATAAGATACTTTGTCCCCGGTGGAGCCCGCACCGCGACACCAGGCCCTTTCATCACGCTCGCCCCACGCCGCGACTCCCGCGCGACTGAAGCGTTGCTGTCCCGCCTCCCCTCCGCAGACTCGGTCGCCCTCATCGCCCAACAGGGGCGTTTTTTTTTTTGTATTCTCTCTCTCTTCCGCTGCGTGCGTGTACGTGTGCCCCTTCTCCTTTGCCACCGCCTTCTGCTGGGGCCTCCTTTTTCTTTGTTTTCGTTTTTTTTTGTGTTTGTCTTGCCCTCCACCCCCCTCCGCCGCTCAGCCTGCTGTGCGGTCGCGGCCGCCGTGACAACTGGCGTCGCGTGGGGCGCGGGGAAGACGAGAAGCGGGGGCGGGAGCATCGGACGGAGTGGGGCGGCGGCCGCACCGAAGGCAGCGAGAGGGGAGGAGGCCGTCAGGGAATTCGGCAGAGTGACAACAACAAGAAAAAAAAAACAATAATCATCACCATCATCATTAACAACAACATGGAGACATGCAGCGACTGACGACGCGGCAGAGTTGTGGGAAACAAATCACACACACACACAGACAGGCAGTTGCGCGCATGCGGAACCCGCCACTTTCCCCTCCTGGAAAGGCGCATTGCCGCACACACAGTCAATTACACACGTGCGGTGCGAGAGAGATGAGCCGAAAACCTGCGTCACTGGAACAAAGCAAAGAAGATGCAGTAAAAGCAAGGGGGGGGGGAAACGTGCAACCCAAAAAAAGGCGGGCGAAGAGGACTAGGCGAGTGAGGACACCATAGCAGAAGTTACTCACGTTCAGCAGGGTTTCCGAGAGAGCACGTGGTAGGCCGACCCTCGCCGCCATCAAAGCTGCAGTTCATTCGTTGCGGCCCATCGCTGTTGCTGCCGCTGCTGGGCCAGACAAAAGGCCTGCAAAGAAGAAATAGACGATGAGAAAAAGAGGAGGCTAAAGAAGAAAAAAAAATGAAGCTTTCCCCTTTTTTTTTGTTTGTTTTCGCCTCTGGGTTTTACAACGCATGCAATAAAAAAAGATGGGTAAATTATCGTTGAAACAAAGACAGTCGTTACAGCCACAATTTCAAGGCACTATTCATTGAATGATTTTCTTTTGGTTTATTTGGTCCGCACTCTACTTTTCTCGTATTTTCTCACTCTCTTTCAACAGCTGCGATCTCTCACGCCATGTGCATCTCATTTATGTCCTTCTCTTTGTTAATCACATCCTCTCACCGCTAATTTCCCGTACACCGCTTCGTCTTTGCCTTTTCTGTTTGTTGATCCCTCAAGAGGCGTGCGCGTGTGTGCGTGTGTGTACATGTGCCCTCATCGTGATAGCTTCCTCCTCGTACATGTTGCTTTCACCTGTCTCCGTGTCTCTGCGCCGACATCTGTCCGTGCAAATGTCATGTTTGCCTGTATATAAGCGTGCGTCTGCGCGTATCCAGGCCAGTTTGTGGCAACCTCCTCCCCCTCACACTGCGGCATGCACACTGTCCCCTAAGATAATCACCATTTGCTTGCTTGCTTGGCCCTGCCTGGTTTTTGTCTACTATTGTTTTTTTTTCTTCTTTTTCTTTTTCTTTTCCTTTTTCTCCTCGCGGGCAAATATATATGTGTGTGTGTGTGTGCGTGGTTGCTTTGTTGAGTCGATTCGTTGCGCGTGTCGCCCCCTCCTCCCTCCGCCCCTTCCCCCTGCTTTCCCAGTTCCAGTCGCCGTCCCATCAGCCTCCTCGGCTGCGTCGATGCCTCTCATCATGCACCGCCCCCTGCCTTTTTCGTGCATGCGTGCATTCATTAACTTCTCCCCTCGCCCTACTGCCTCAAATAACGGAGTTTCCCTCCTGCGCATTGTACGCGTAGTAGGCCTTGTTGTGCATCATCAGTTTGTTGTCCACGAAGTAGAAACTGTCGCTGACGGTCTCATTGGGGCTCGCGATGATGGCCTGCACCCACTCCTCGGAGAGCGCAGGCACGTCGTAGATCGCCTCCCACGTGTTGGTGGAGTGCGGGATGCAGAAACCAAATGTAAAGTCAAACGATTTGATGAGTGTGTTACGGAAGTAGTGCCGCTCAATCATGCGGAAGTTTGGGACGGGGATGTCGCCGTTGACGCCAAACACAAGTTTGGCCCCAATTGTCTTTCGTCGCAGCAAGGAAGGAGGGAATTTGTAGGTGACGGTGCGCATCAATTGCTGCACTTCCGGCGGGAGATTCGCGAGGGTCTCCGGGGGCGGGTAGTCCTCCGGCTCACGCTCCACCTCAAACACGACTTCGCCCGTCTCCATGTCGCGGATGGTGAAGCGGTAGAACTCGATGTTGTACGTGTTGGCGGTCAAAGGACAGAGAAAGTCGCTGGTGGGTGAACTGAACTGCAGCACCTGCTCTGGAGTGACTTGAATGTTTGCCGCCATTGCCACTCACTGCTCTCGCCTTCGCCGCCTGTAGTAAAGTATTCGTCGTGTTTTTGCTTCTGCTTCTGCTGCGGCCCGCCACTGCCGCTGACGGGGTGTTTTCCTACTCGACGCCTGTTCCCCTGCTGATTGCCCTGCGACGGTGACTCCCTCCCCCTCACTCACCCTCCGCGTGTGTGTAGGTGTAGGTGTGAGTGCGTGTGCGTGCGCGTGTGCGTGCGCGTGTGCGTGTGCGTGTGTTCGTTTGTTTGTTTGTTTTATATCTTTTATGGGGACTGTCTCCTTGCCTACACGCAGTGTTGGCGGTGGTCGCTCCCCTGTGCTGTCGCTTTGCTCTGCGGTTTCATCCCGGCCGCCACAATGGGTGGGCGCAGCAGTAAATAACAAGCAAGAGCAGGGAGGAGCAAAGGACAAAAAATGAGACGCACTGCAGTCCGTTGCGCAACCGCACACACACACACAGAGAGAACTTCCTGCGTTCTCCTTCAGCAGGTGCTGCAGATGCG